CTTTCTTTCTTTATTGTACATGGGATTAAATTTAGGACCTCTTGGGGCCTGCAAGTCAGGTGGTGGCACAACTGAGCTAAATCCCTGGTCTTTGTTTATTTACTTATTTTACCACCAAGTCACCTACTGTTTTTCATTTGCTATTTTAAAATATGAAATTTTTTTCAGAAAGCACCCCTTTTAATTTGTAGAAGACCCTTGTCAGATATGGACAATCCAGATACTGACTTTTCCGTACATGATGCTGCTAATCTCCTGACTCTTGAATGGCTTATGAAAAATGGTGCCTACTAGAAAGAATGGAGAAGAAGAAAAAAAATTATCAAATTCTCTATTTACTCAGTAACTCAAACTGTTGTTTTTGGAATAAAATTTTGACATCTTGAGCAGCTGTTATAATAATGTGCAAACATTTTTTTCTGTAAAAATTACAACTTCTTTTAAAAACCTTTATAAAATAGAGGTAGTTGGTAAACTTGATGAGAAGAAATCACTGTCACTGCAATGACTTCTATAGAAAATACCACTGTAAGCAGTCACTTTTTGTAGGATTCTTGCCTTCTTCAAATATGGTTGTATATGGGTGTGTTTTTTTGTTAGGAATTTATCATTTGGGACCTCTACTAGAGTAGTAATAATTTCGAACTCCTCTTTAATAGAGCTGGAGTGGACCAGAGAAATTGCTTGCTTTGGATGAACTCATTGATAGTTGTGAACCAACGCAAGTGAAACATATGATGCAAGTGATAGAACCTCAGTTTCAGAGAGACTTCATTTCCCTGCTCCCTAAAGAGGTAAGGATTGCATGTTACCTCCTTTGTTGGGTGGGATTTGAAAGTACACCTCAACAGCTACCATTGTTAAGTCTTATTGTGCTAATTTTTTTATCTAGTATTTTTAGCTTAACACTAGTGAAGTAGTGCTAACTAGTAGTAAAGTAGTAGTTGCTAATAGTAAAGAGAGCTTTAAATTGATAAACAATTACTTAGTCATGTTAATTGTCAGATTAAAGAATGATTAGGGAATAGCTTGCTTCTTTCTGTTACTTGAACCAGCAATACATAGTAGAGTTAACTTTTTGAGTTTGATTCATTGGATTATTTGTTTACCAAGATTTTTTTGTTTCTGAAGCCCAATTTTTAGTTGTCTTGATATGTTCATTATAGTGGATTTAAAAAAATTCTAATTTTATTTAAATGGCAGTGCTTTTTTCCTTATTTTTTTCATTTATCCTAAATCCCTTCAAGACCAGTAGTTTTATGCTTCTGTTGAATTGTAGTTCTCTGGTACCATGGAACCTAGTTCATGAACTTTTTAGTTCTTCCCACGATTCTGCTCACAAACCAAACAGGATGAGAACAGAATCAAATTCAGTGGTTAGGTTCAGAGTTGACCTTATGGGGAAATTTAATTTGGTTCTCATCCATTTCAGTTTGCAACAGAATCATAGAAAGAATAAAGTCATGAGCCATGGTACTACTGTACATATGTTTCATGGTTCCTCGGATACATAGACTGTCATATGTGTATCTTATGTGCTAGTCACCTCTCTCTCCACTTTGATTAGACACATACTCACAGACTTCCCATGCCAGTGACATTCTTATGACACTTCTTTGGAGTCATATATATGCATTTTAAAATTTTTATGTAAACTAGTACTGTTTCTTGTTATAGATTATGATAATATAAGCATTCTTTCCTGTAAAAATAAAGCATAGTTTAGATGTAGTGCTCTTATTGATCTGATTTTATTTTTTTCAGCAAACAAGAATAATCTAACATTATTCATTGCCCCCATGATATATATTTTCACGATATAATACTGGATCAGCTAAGAAGACCATATAAAACACTTAAAAATTTACATATATATATTTACACACACACACACACACACACACACACACACACACACACACGGTCCTGAAGCTTCAAACTTGAAAAGGAGTGAAGTTTTTCAGATAATCATTCTAAATATTCTAATAGTTTCAATTTTAATTTCATGTTACATATGAATAAAATAGTTTTATCATATTTAGTGTATGAAACTAAGCATTACTCCAGGGTAAAGCAAAATTGATTTTAAAAAAATATTTTTCCTAAAATAATTTTTTTGAAGGGTGCTTTTAAAAAGCAGGAAAAAATTTTTATTCTTGATAGCCCTTTCTGAAATTGAACCCTTTGAGTAGCTTTGGCTTATGAAAAATGACATAAGCTGTCTTTCCTTTCAAAAGGCCATTAATAGCAGGAAATACTTTTATATTCAAGCGAAAATGAAATTGTTAATTTTTTTCATAGTTTGCTTGATATATATCTCCTAATTTTAGAGGGTAAAATTTTTGTTTTAGTATATGTGCTGCCAAAGCAAGCACAGGGTAGCATTTTTGTTAAAATGTATTTTTTCAGTAGTCAGTTTGTTCCTTTATCTTTAGGAATGATGGGTTTTCTTTGTTTTGTTTTGTTTTGCTTTGCATTATTTTAATTTTTATAGTAATGTTTTAACTCACAGAAATGTGATTTAAAATCAGTAAAATTTGAAAATATTTTAAAGAGTCTTTAAGACTCTTCAGTGAAGAACTGAACACAACTGAGGGTAAATCCAATAAAAATTCTCTTACGTGTTCTTTTAAAGCTTGCCTGAGGAAAAAGAAAAAGTGCAGCTAAATTGGAAAATGGGAGAGAGTGCTACCCTAGAGTATCACCTGTGTCAGTCTTTTGTTTGCAAATAATAGAAAAACGTTTCCTAAAAAGACTTTATTTTATAAGTGGACAAATAATACTATAGATTTAAGTCCTTAAGGAAATTAGCACTTGGATCAGAGACTCAGTTTTACTATTATTTAAAACATGTCAGGAGATTGACTTACAGTATTTTTGTTATAATTCATTTGAGCAGATCTCAAAGCTCTTACTGACACCTATTCAATCTCAAAAAACATTGATTAAAATCACACTAGTCTCACATGACAAACTTGTGATAAATAATGCAGTCTTTATTTGGAAAGTAAATACCAGCAGGCTCATAGGGATATAGTTAGGTGATCTAGAACAAAACTTGGTAATAAAGGGTTAGCTAACATTGTTGTTGTTTAAATTTTTTTCCCTGGACTAATTCAGTCTCCTGAAATATAGCAATCCTGCGGAAGTATTGGCTACTTTTCAGGAACAATATTATGGTCTCTGTCCCCTATAAGGAGTTTGTTTTAGTTCCAGCTGCTATAACAAAGTACCATAGACTTATAAACAACAGAAATTTATTTTGCACAGTCCTGAAAGCTAGGAAGTTCGAGATCAGGACCCTCTTCCAGTTTGTAGATTTTACTGTCTTGTGGCAGAAAGAGGACCTGAGAATTCTCAGGGGTCCCTTTTACAGGTTACTAATCTCATTCCTGAGAGCTGCCTTCTTATGACTTAATCAGCTCTCAAAGGCCCCACTTCCAAAGTCACATTTTAAGGGTTACAATTTTAACAAATTTGAGGGACCCAAACATTCAGTCACATTTCAGATCCCTACATGACCAGACTTGCTTCAAGGAATTGATGTACTTCTCCATAATGCCTAGTTAGAATCATGTAACGAATTGCTGTTCCCTTACTGTTTGGCAGATCAATTAAAAAAAAACATATCATTGTTGCCATCAATTTGTGTGTTTCCTTTTCCCTTTGCTGACATGTTTTTCCTGTTTCTAGCCACCCCACCTATAGTTTTGTGTTTCAGTGGAAGTAGATACTGTAGAGACAAACTAATAAGTTGAGGCTCACGGTTGAGTTAGAGACTTTACTACTTTAAAAGAAAGTGTGCTGGTTATCTGTTGAACTCTGCTTTAACTTTCCTGACCATTGCTTTACATTTCTCTTTAATGCACACAGACACTGGACTTGATGATCTCTTAATCACTATTAATGAAGGAAATCTACTGGTATTTTGAAATCTAAACTGTTCTGGATTTGTTATAGCCTAGCCTTTGAATTACCTGATTTCCACTTCAGTCAAATAACTAAAGCAAAGAATAGATTTTTTAATATAGCCATTATAAATATCTTGGGCATTGATTAACATCTCTTTCATAAATATCTTGTGTTAGATTACAATTTTCACATAGGCTGATAGTATGGTGACATCACATTACTGTTACACTGAAACTAAGCACACTTGCTTAGGCTTTCAGAATGGTATTTTAAAAAATAAGTAGCATATGGAATACCCATTAAAAAGATACATTGAGTGGGTCAGGGATTTAGCTCAGTGGTGCTGCTGCCTGCCTCCACAAGCACAAAGTCCTGAGTTCGATCCCTGGTACCAAAAAAAAAAAAAAAAAAAAAAAAAAAAAAAAAAAAAAAAAGAAAGAAAGAAATGCCCTGCTGAAAAAGATACATTGAGTGGGTCAGGGATTTAGCTCAGTGGTGCTGCTGCCTGCCTCCCCAAGCACAAAGTCCTGAGTTCGATCCCTGGTACCAAAAAAAAAAAAAAAAAAAAAGAAAGAAAGAAATGACCTGCTGAAAAAGATACATTGAGTGATGAGTATGTGCTTACACACACACACACACACACACACACACACACACACACAGAATGTATAGTTAATCTTAAATGACTATATAGATGTGATACTGAATGCTCTTCTCGAAAAAAATGTATTTCATGAAAAGTTTGCACTGTCATTCATCAATAGAAGTGTCAGACTAAAGTGATACTGTCTAGTTGGTATTTTGTAGGTAGAATATACTCAATAAATAGATTAGTGGTAAACTACATATGTAGAGTTACTGGGAAGAGAGAATTATTATCTCATAATTCCTGTTCAGATTCAAAAAATAATTTAAGTTGTGCTTTCACTCCCTGTATGACCCTTGGCCCTTTATATGATAGTGATTTAATTTTTGTCATTTAGTTTCTGAGAATTGAACTTTCTTGCTCTGGTTAGACCCATTTTTATTGTCATATCATAATTTAATTTTTTATTTTTGTCAGGTCGTTATTTTACTTCTTTCCTTTTTCCTTATTTACTTGAATTGACTATACACAGTGAAAAAATGATAGTTTGCAAATACTATAAACAAAATTTTAAAATCAGTAGTGTATTGAAGAGTTATCTCAAATATATAACTATGTGAACCATCAAGAAAAATCCCTATAAGCAACAGAAAGTGATAGAACCCAGTTATCTTTATACATCTGTGGAGCAGTTTAATAATTGTCTTGGGTGTCAAGAGTGTAAATGTTTCCAAAGTTTATCATTGTTGTAAACACTGATTTGATGAAGAACTACTAATTATACCTAACAAGTGATCTGAAATTATATCATGCAAAACCTATAAAAATCCTATTGCTTATCAGTCAGGCTGTCGGGGAAGGACTTAGTGAAATTACACTGTAGTAGGAAGGGAAAACAAATGTAAATAATAAAGTAAAATATAAAATATAAAATCTGTTGAGATTCACAGAACCAAGGCAGGAGTAGAGACATTTAATCAGTATTCCTTCAAGATGTAGAATTATTGCTGTTCATAAAAACCTGTAGGCCATTTATTTTTTATGTCTAGCTTATATTTGTAAAGATTGAATGTACTGCCTTTCATAAATTTAGACATTATAATGTAGAATTATATTTATATGTAATAATACAGAGAATAATTAATTTATTTTTTTCTACAGTTTTAAAAAATGTGAATATACCATGTGGTTTTCTTTTCTGTAGTTGGCACTTTATGTGCTTTCATTTCTGGAACCCAAAGACCTGCTACAAGCAGCCCAGACATGTCGATACTGGAGAATTTTGGCTGAAGACAACCTTCTCTGGAGAGAGAAATGCAAAGAAGAGGGTAAGGTTCAAACTGGCATAGAGAGTATACTGGTACTTTGGAAAAAGCAGTGTGATTCTGAAAATAAGTAAATTTTATATGCAAGTGGAATAATAGTGAATAAGTGAAAAAGAGGAGCTGTATCTTCAGTTACATACATTCACCTATTTGGATTCACTAATGAGTTAAGATAAACATAATTTAAAGGAAACTAAAAAGTTATGTTATCAAATATTGAATATTTTATCCATTCATTCCATAAATATTTATTGAACACCTACTCTGACTTAGACTTTGGTTTTTGGGGTTTTTTGGGTTTGCTTTGGTTTGGTTTGGAGACATGGTCTCACTGTACAATTGAGGCTGAACTTGAACTCATTGTGGAGCCCAGGCTGACCTTAGACTCTGGATCCTTTTGCCTCAGCTTCCAGAGTGCTAATTTCACAGGCATGTGCCACCATGCCCTGCTGACATTCTTACAAAATAGTGACGTCCTGCCATTTTCTTCCTGTTGTGGAGCTTATATTCCTAAAAATTACTTTGTTTTTTAAGGATCTTCTTCTAAGGGACTAGACATCATCAATATTAAGTGGAGGACTTTTTTCCAGCAACATATAAATAAATAATCATTTTGAAAAAAATATATAAAAATATTACTTGCTTCTAAGAAGCAAAATTTCTCTGAAAGAAGCACAGGGGCACAGGTACTCTGCAAGCAGTCCTCCCCTTGGTGTTAGGCAGTTAGGTGGGGAACATTGATGGTGAGTCCAGTTAATAAAACTTCCAATTGAAGATCCAGGTCCTTGGTGTTTGAATCTTGCTTCTGCCAGATCCCTGACAAGGTTAACCAGAGAAGCCTTCCTTCTCCAGTATGATTAGTCATCTGTGTCACCTTCTTTCATAGACTCATTTATTAATGACTTTATAGTTTGTGGTAACATATCCATAATACGATTTATTATTTTAATAATGTTAAGTGTGTGGTCCAATTACACTAAAAACATTAATATTTTGTGCTATAGTCACCAGCAGTCTCTAGGACTTCTTTGTCTTTTCTGTCTGAAACTCCTTGTCCATTTAATAATAACTTCCCAATCTTCCTTCCTCATGGCCTGGAATGGCAGCCACTTTCAATTTCTATAAATTTGACTGATACAGGTATCTCAGGTAGGTAAAATAGTATGATATTTGCCCTTTTATGACTTCCTTATTTCACTTAGCATATTGTCTTCAGAGTGGCAATTGTCAGAACGTCCTTTCTTAAGGCTGATCTTCCACATGTCATTGTTCACTTGGATTACTTCTACCTCTTGGCTGTTGTAAAATTGCTGTGAGCACACGTGTACAGTTACACTTGTTCAAGTCTCTTCCTTATGTTCTTTTGAGTATATGTTGAGAAATGGATTTGCTTGATCATATGTTACATCTATGTTTAATTTTTGGGTGGAACCAACATGCTGTTTTCCACAACAGTTGTACTGTTTTACATTCACACAAGCAGTGCATAAACAACCCGATTTCTGCACATCCCTCACCAACATCTCCTGTAATCATTTTTAGAAAGAAATGAAATAATTAGTATAGAAATATGCCATACAGAATGCAAACTTTACATTATTGTTACATTCCTTAATAACAATATTAGAAATTAGACTGTGTCCTGCATTTTACTGGTTTTAAGCATAGAGGAAAATGAAATACATTTTTAAATGTGTAATTTATATTATTGGTCAAAGGAATCATTCTCTTGAATTCTTTGATACCACAGGGATTGATGAACCATTGCACATCAAGAGAAGAAAAGTAATAAAACCAGGTTTCATACACAGTCCATGGAAAAGTGCATACATCAGACAGCACAGAATCGATACAAACTGGAGGCGAGGAGAACTCAAATCTCCTAAGGTAACTGAGCACAACTATCTTAAGTGGAAAGGAAACTATATTTTAAAATAACAGAAAATATAACATACTATTCCTTTACTGCTAATTTCTTTAACCTGAAAAACTACTTTTACTTGAAGAAAAAATGAGGTGAATTTCATTCTTTCACCTTACATAAATTAAAAATCTCTGAATATCTTCTTGAAATTTATTGTGTCATATATTTTCTTCCTAAGAATTTGCAGCTCCCTCTGATCACATTGCCTGAACATGACTTTGCAAGGAGTGTCTGTGTTTTGGCCGAAGATGGCTTTTCTGTGTTTCATTTTTATAAATTGAAGCATAAACCTGGTTTTCTGTCTTACAACATTTCAAGTATACAAAGAATAGTAAAAATGCTTGAAATTCTTAGATGTAGGTTTATAACAGAAACAATTTGAGAAGACAGTATGTGTATATCATGGCAGATGTTTTTGTTTAAGTTGAAAAAGCTAATTGTTACTTGTCTTTCTAATTAGAAGGTGTTTTGTTCTTGTGTGTTAAAAATTCTTGTGTATGTAAGACATATTACTTTTCTTTAAACATAAAATAGACTATTATAAAATGCACTTGTTACTGAACCATCTTTATGAGATCTTGATTTAGTAAAATTTTAATGGGAGGTGTTTGAAATGTAAATAATAGAATATGGAAATAAAATGTTTGATGTTGATTCATCAGCCAGGAAGCATGATGCTTCATTTTATATAATTTTTATTCTAGAAATATACAGTGGGTTACTGTTCTACTTAATGGCTTCATCTTTTCTTTTCACCAGTATTTTAAAGAATAGCATATTCCTAACCCTTACACCTCTCTGATAGGTGCTGAAAGGACATGATGATCATGTGATCACCTGCTTACAGTTCTGTGGGAACCGGATAGTTAGCGGTTCTGATGACAACACTTTAAAAGTTTGGTCAGCAGTCACAGGCAAAGTAAGTCTGTTTATGCTTGCACTTCACAAAATCACCATTTTGAGTTATCTCCACAAGCATCAACTCGTAAAAGTAAAATAAGGCTCCATTTTTGATCCTTACTTATTATGATAGCAAATATCAGGGCTTCTAGCTTAGCACTCTCCCCACCCCATTTGTGACAGTCACCTCGGTGTGATGCTAATGGCGTTTCTCATGATAAGAATGTCATTCAGTTTTTTTTTCATTTAAATAGTTTGTCTCTGTGACTTAAATATTTTAAGATATTTTCAGATACGAATCGTTTTCTTGGCTCACTTCTTCCCACCCAAGTTATACTTCATTTGTTTTAATGTCTTTCAAAAGTATGATAGACATTTATTTGTCTTAATAAATTGCTTTGTTAATAAGCTACCTATAATTTAGAAGTTAAGATTATGTTAGTTTAGAATTAACCGCAGACCCTTGTGATGTAGAAGTTAAGCAGAGCAGGTATTTAAATATGCCTTTGAAGAAAAAAGCAGTCCAAGCAAAAGATTTACTTCATAACAGCATTACGCCTTATTGATTCTTTAGTGAATATTCATTTTGTCTGTCATGAATTAAGTAATTGGCCAACTACAAAGCTATAGAGAATGTGGGAAAAAAAATCCACGTTTTTAAAAATGTCTTTTACCATGCTGCTTCTTGGACAAGAATCTTATAAATATTAGAAGCCAGATGTTAAAATTTTTAAAAGCAGCTTCATATTTCATGATGTAATATTAGGTTGGATTTATTTCAGAATATTAATGTCTGTCTTTACTTGTTTAGCAGTAGCTTGGTGTGATCCTAGCAGATTCAGATGTCCTGTGGATGTTCTTTCGTGGAGTCTATTTCCATGCAACACCCCAAGTTGAAGTTTTAGTATTATTTCATCAGAGGCCAGGCGGGGCTCTTAAACATTGCATTCATCTCATATACTTGCTTTTGGTTACACCGAATGTTGATATCATGTGATTCAGTTTCATATCACGTTTGCTCTCTACATATTTGTTTCTCAGTGATGTACATGTGTAAGTGTAAAACAGTAGTGATGAGGCCGTTACATCAATGCACAAAACGTTTTCTGATGATCCAATCAAATTCACTGAATGATTTTTCCAGATTTTTAATGCGCTGTTAAAATATTGAAATAACTTTCCTTTCTACCCCAAATTAATCATCTTAAGTGTTTTTCCAGTGTCTGAGAACATTGGTGGGACACACAGGTGGAGTCTGGTCGTCGCAGATGAGAGATAACATCATCATTAGTGGATCTACAGATCGGACTCTGAAGGTGTGGAATGCAGAGACTGGGGAATGTATACACACCCTGTATGGGCATACTTCCACCGTGCGCTGTATGCATCTCCACGAGAAAAGGTACAGGAAAAAGCCCAGCTCAGGGCTCTCATTACTGGTACAGTGAGAATGATTTTTTAAAGTAGACCTGAATGTTTTTAAACTAGGAAAGCCATAATGTCTTGGCTTAAAATTGCAGACTTGTCTTTGAATTTCCTTCTTCATTTGATATGTTGTGGGCTTTCTTGAAGCTCTGATAACTAATCCTTTTTATGGTTTGATGATTCATCGTCTTCAAACAAAAATCATTTTTCTTTCTTGGTATTTATATTTGTGCAAGTGGGACAGATTCACTCAGGGTTTCAAGCCTCTGAGTCCTTGTAATGACCTGCCCAGCTCTGTCGTAACCCCCAATGTAGGAAAAGCAGAGACCTGGGAGGGTTAATTCATTCTCTTACTACCTGTTGTTGGAACTTTCGCCTTAGCTTTCAAATATGGTCTTTGCACCTTGTATACAGTTGACAGAGAGGCCCTCATGTAATTATGATGGTATCCCTAAGGAAGAAATCAGCCAAACCATACTGCCTGTCTTTTCTTACTCAGTGCCTTTGTTGTTGCTCTTTTCTCCTTTATGCTCTTCTGTTAAAACCTTATCTTCCTGTTGACATGTCTTCTACTTCATTTGCTAAAAAAGACCTCTCTGGAAAGTGCTTTTTTCCATTAATTTTATGGGTACATTTTAGGTGGGCAGTATGATGACATTCATCAGTGGAAATTTGTACCTTTAAATGATGTATCTTGCTTCTTATTTTCTCCCCCTACCCCTGCCCCGCTTCAACCCTTCTTCATATTTACAAAGACTTTGTTTCCATTTTTCCTTTTCTCATATATATTTTTTTACCCTTCTTTCCTTTCCCCTGCCCTTTCTTCCCACTTCCTCCTCCCCCTTTAGACCTTTTCTTCCTGTTTCACATTATCTATTATACATTTTGATTCTTATTTACACTTTAAGTTTCTCACATGAGTGAAACTATTCGGTATTTACACATGTGTGTCCTATTTATGTCATTTCAGAGTATGGCCTCAGTGTGCATCCATTTCACTACAGATGACCTGAGTTTCTCATTTTTTATGGCTGAATAGTACTCCATTTTATAGAAAATCCACATCTTTATCCAGTCTCCAGTTGTCTCTGAAAAGTTCTTAATAGTAGGACCTTCCAGAGTAACCACAGCACTCTTATACCTTTAATTCTTTATTGAAAATCATTGAATAATCTAAACTTCACTCTCGATTTGTAATGTATAAAGAACTTTTCACTTATAATTTGAATCTACTTTGAAAAGTGTGCTGTGTGGCTGAGACTTAACAGAAGTATCAAGAAACCTGGTGATTGAATTGTGGTTATGTTCTGGCTTAACTCTGTGCTTTAGCATTCTGCTCTCCAATGTGGAAACTGTGACTTTTTCTTTTTCCTTTTGCCTTTCCTTTTCCTTTTCCTTTTCCCTTTCCCTTTCCTTTTTTTTTTTTTTTTTTTAATACTGGGGATTGAACTCAGGACCCTGTGCTTGCGAGGCAGGTGTTGGCACCACTGAGCTAAATCCCCAGCCCTATGACACTTCTTTTTTGTCTTAGGAATGACATAAGGATACCTGGGTTTTCAGCTTTGTTTTTGTAGTCCAGAGATGATTGCATTGTTTGTGTATTAGTGTGGTTTTCAGAAGAGTATAACTTTAATAATGATGGGCCAGGAATTTCTGTTGCTTCTGTAGATAAATGTCTTTAATACATCTGTGTATTTTAACAACCCTGTTGCCTATTGAATATTTGTAAATTTAAGCATTAATAGCATGAGCAGCCTTTGTTTGAAAATATACCCAAAACTAGTTATTTTTACCAGAATATGTAGTATGAATCATCCATAGGTTTTTAAACCCCAGATTTTGATTCAAAAATGTTTTGCTGAATAATCTTTGTTTGCTTTTTTACCTGATCACAATGGTAACTGTATTCATAATTAAAAATTGGGAAAATGACAGCATGAAGACATTTACGGTATTCAAAATAATACCACTCAAATTCCCCCATTAACATTTTATACATATGGCCACACTATCAGGACCACATTGTATATATTGACAACCAGCTTCTTTTTTAATACCATACAGTGGTTTCCAGACTCCATTCCACAGAACCTCACAGGGGTTGAAGGTATACCTCAGAGGCTGAGCACTTGTTGAGCATGTGCAAGGTGCTGAGTTTCCCAGCACTGCAAAAACAAAGTAAAAGTCACAGAACCTCACAGTGCTCGAAGTATAGGCCATATGTAAGGGAAGCAACCAACCAGGTGGAATTCTAGGCATCCTACTTAGCATTTCAACCAAAATTACTGGGTAGTGTGTTTCTATATCAAGGTTTTATGTAAGATTTCTTGAGCAAACCAGGTATCTGTGCTCAAGAAAATGGGGCAGGGACTTTAAAAACTGCTGGCTTCACTTATATTTGCTCCTGCTACTGAAAGTTATAATGTACTTTTTCTCTTTTCCCCTACAGAGTTGTCAGTGGTTCTCGAGATGCCACTCTTAGGGTTTGGGATATCGAGTCAGGCCAGTGTTTACATGTCTTGATGGGTCATGTAGCAGCAGTCCGCTGCGTTCAGTATGATGGCAGGAGGGTGGTTAGTGGAGCGTATGATTTCATGGTGAAAGTCTGGGACCCGGAGACTGAGACCTGTCTACACACGCTGCAGGGGCACACTAACCGAGTCTATTCCTTACAGGTGAGCGATCTTGTCTCTCTGCCTGAGTCCCAGCCTTGTGTCGCTTCAATGATCGCTGTCAGATTGCTGATCCAGTCAGTGCAAAACAAATGAATCCACTTAACTTAATCTGCTCTTTGGTGTGAAGAAAGCATAAATTTCAGAATTATTTTAGTGGTTTATTGGTTCCAATTTCTGTGATCCATTTTCCCTCTGGAATATAAATATTTGTCTTGGGACCTGAGACTTTGGAGCTCTGAGTTGGCTATGTTAATTAATAGACAGTGTCATAGGAAAATAATCTGGATTTTAGTAAACAGTGGAGGATTAATTTGGCCAGAAGCTGCCCCTTTGCCTTAATAGCTGAAAGCTGATGGACCGTGTGATTGTGGTTCTGTCTCTATCAGAGTGCAGCTGTCTGCATAAAGCTGTGCCACTCTTCCAGGCCACCGCTTTGTATTCTTCAAGAAGCAGGTTTGACTACCTGATTTTTTTGTTTACATTTGAACCTGATAACCAAGAATAGATTGTCGTATTTCAGGATCATTAACAAGACTAACAGATTTAGAAAATGGCTCTTGTTTATTCTCTGAAATACAGCATATTCAATATTAAAACCTGTGTCCCATTACTTACAAGTTTATTTACCATCTACTGCTGCTTAATGATCAGCAGATTAGTACATAATCCCAGTGCTGACATTGCTGTTCTGAGGGTATTTCGTAAGGGTACTGTCCATGTCATCAAATGTTGATATATAATAAAGATGTTAAATTAGAAAAGGTGATGGGCTTGAAGGAAAGGGAATTGGCTGCAGCTGCTTTGGTATTTGTTATGCTCAGAACTTTAATGAAATATAATATTCTCAAACCACTCAGTAGAAGTGAGGTAGCCAATAAAGTATATAAAATCTTCTGGGAATTGATAGAGACTGGCTTTTACTGTACCTGGAAAGCTGGAGGAGATGCTGCATAGCTTACTTTTGTTACCATAACACAACCTTTTAAAATTTCAGATATAATTATCTTTTAACACATTCTCTAATTAGTATTAGGTTCTTGTAAATGAAAGTTTTATTTTACATACAGTTTTTAATGGGATCTTACCTTTTGAACACCATGAAAGTTATCGCTAGCCCTTTTCATGCCTCAGGTGCTGATAAGCACACCCTTTTATCAGCAAGCTGCATCGTTAGTTTTAGCTTCCTATGGAGAAGTAAAACTCAGATGGCAATCTTCACTGAATCATCCATGATATAAGCTATTGATGAGGAGGACCAGATGATTTAAAAGTAATGTTATTTCAAGGGTTTTTGTTGTTGTTTCTGAATCTAGTTTGAAGCTCCTGGCCATAGAAAATTCACATTGCCTGGTGGCATGCACTTTATCCTAGAACCTCATATTTCTCCTGGTCTTGCCTGTCGCCATATTTTCCTCCATATTAAGAGTAAGGTCAGTAATTAATAAAAAGTGTATCCATTCTTGTGTTCTAATAAGCTGTGTTTCTTGTAGTTTGATGGCATCCATGTGGTGAGTGGCTCTCTTGATACATCAATCCGAGTTTGGGACGTGGAGACAGGGAATTGCATTCACACATTAACAGGGCACCAGTCGTTAACAAGTGGAATGGAACTCAAAGACAATATTCTTGTCTCTGGGAATGCAGATTCTACAGTTAAAATCTGGGATATCAAAACAGGACAGTGTTTACAAACATTGCAAGGTAAGAACTGGCCCATCTTTAGTTGTATTTATTAAAAATTTTGTTGTCACTCACTAAACAAGGATGGAGCCTTCACACCAAGAAAGGGTAACCTCACACAGAGTGCTTACTCCAGATAAGTTTCTGGGTGGTTGCACTCTGACTTATAGCACTAGGCTACCTTGAGAAAATGTTTTGAGTTGTGTTTTTTATACAAACTTGTTTATATCCCTGTATGTTCGTTTCTACTTGTCCCTTGTATTCACGCATGTTCAGTTGAGTCTGTGTCACCCTAAACAACTTGAGAAGAAAGGTCTTGGCCATTTCACAGAAGCAGCGTAGCCATTTATTTTCAGTTTAAGCATCTCATAAAAAAGTCTTGTCTCTACTGAGCCCCTCCTTTCTTATCTAGGATGGAAAAGAATAATAGTGTCCTCTGAAACAAAAACAGATAGCAATGAGAATTGTTACTGTTAACTTCATGATGACCTTTCCTTGGTTGCATCCCTTAGCTTTTTAGCGAGGCCGTGCAGTAGGCACACTGTCACTCTTTGCTCTCTGGTTTGGCCTCTTGGTTTTGGAATGGTATTCGTGCAGCCTTTGCCTTTGGCTGGTCAGTGCAGAGTGGTAGGGTAACAGATCGCTTATGCTCGCTTGTCCCTTGGCAGAATATATGAGGCTGTGCTGTCTTCATCACTCCAGGGAAAGCTCCCACTCATGGAGCCAGAAAAGAAAATGTGTGCCTGGTAGCTTCCTGGAAAAAAGTTAACATTCCAGTTACAAATAGCTACCAGATTTTCTTACATCCTTGCTGATCCTAAAATACTCAGAACAAGGTTTCTAAATATGCAGCATTTTAAATGTTGCATTTGTTGTATGTTCTAATATAGAAGTCTACAAATTACGCTGCAGCTAACTCATAGTCGTGATTTCTAACTAGTAATTAAATTCCCTTGGTTTTGCCTAGGTCCCAACAAGCATCAGAGTGCTGTGACCTGTTTACAGTTCAACAAGAACTTTGTAATTACCAGCTCAGATGATGGAACTGTAAAACTATGGGACTTAAAAACGGGTGAATTTATTCGAAACCTAGTCACATTGGAAAGTGGGGGAAGTGGGGGAGTGGTGTGGCGGATCAGAGCCTCCAACACAAAGCTGGTGTGTGCGGTCGGGAGTCGGAATGGGACTGAAGAAACCAAGCTGCTGGTGCTGGACTTTGATGTGGACATGAAGTGAAGAGCAGAAAAGGTGAATTTTGTCCAGATGTGTAGAAGATATACTCCCTACCCCTTCCCCTACACAAAAAAAGAAAAGAAAAGAAAAAAAAAAAAAAGAAAAAAGAAAGAAAAGAAAAAAACAGAAAAAAGAGAAAAGAAAATGAAAAAAAAAATCCCTTGTACTCAGTGGTGCAGGATGTTGGCTTGGGGCAACAGCGTGGAAAGACCTACAGACTAGGAAGGAAAGAGAGACAACAACCGAAACTGACAAGAGGGGTCCACTGTCTCATCACCTGGAAGGCTTCACTTTTGACTGGGGGCAGCTTTGCAAAAATGAGACATTCTAAATCAAACCAGGTGCAATTACTTCTTTATTTTCTTCTTCAGTGGTCATTGGGCAGTGTTAACGCTGAAACATCATTACAGATTCTGCTAGCCTGTTCTTTTTACCACTGTCACCTAGAAAGGAGCTGCAATAATGTCAAAAAAAAATACTGGTTGACTTTCTAATTAGAGAGCATCTGCAACAAAAAGTCATTTTTCTGAAGTGGAAAAGCTAAAAAAAAAAAAAAAAAAAA